TGGGCAGGGAGGTTACTTTAAGACGACTTTTTTGAGGTAAATGTTCACAGTATTGAATATGTGAACATGGGATGGGGTATCAACTCACTTTACACTTATAAGCAATTATGTTCCTATCTCTTCCAAGAGAACTATCTTCCTTCCAAAACCTTTGGGATACTATGCTATGTAAAACTACACAGCAACAAAGTTTAAGATGGATAGCTAAGCTGCTGTAGTTTAGCTTTTACATACTGCAGGGTAAGAGAAGGCACATGGATAGTTAACATGGAATAGCTATAAGTCCCTGCCCCCTTTTAACTTGCTGTAATGTACTCATTAATTTGTCCATATCTATACACTGGGTTTCTCCCTATCAGTAGCTGACGATACAGTGCACCAGATTTTCAGCTGATGTAAATGGCATAACTCCACTGAAGCTGATGGAGCTACTCCAGTTTGCAGTGGTGAGGATGTGACCCCCTATATTTGGCAAGATTTGCTGGTTAAGAAAACTGGGAAAAGTCCTATATTTGGGAGAAGGAAAAGAGAAGAAGAGGGCAATGAGTGCTTGGACCTCTTGATTTTACAGGACATCTTTGATATTCACACACATTTGCAAGAATATATTCCAAGCATCTTACTGTTATTAGTATCTTGTACTGTAGTTTGTTAGCAGTGTTGACTCCCTTACCTAGCTAATATTCTGTTGCAACTTAGAGAAAGTGTAAACACTTAAAGAAAACAGGAGTATAGAAATTGTATGTACTTTTTTTTATATTAAAGCACTTCAAATAAAATATGGAAAAATGCTGTCACTGTGCTCTTTATTGTGTGTTTAAACAGATGTGTAGAACCAGAGAGCAATGGCTTTTTCATGAATTTTTCTCTGTTTACTTTGTTTTCTGTAGCTAAAGAAGGAAGGCCAAAATCTAAAGAAAACCTCCCAGTTCTGAAGTTTATTCAGCAAGCAAAGAATGCTGGTCAAATCTTTTCTAATATACGATAACAACTAAGGTTGGGCCTAGACCCCAAATATGAACATGCCCAGATTTTGGGGAAATTCAGGTCCAAATCTTGAATCTTCCAGTTTCTTCTGTTACTCAGGTCATCTTTTGAAGACAATTCAGAAACAGAGTTGATACCTAAGAATTAAGCAGTGGGACAACTACAGAAAGAGTCTAGAACACTTTCAGTTTTATAGTGAGGTAATTCGGAAGATAATGAGATGCTCCAAAGATGCAAAAGTAGAGGAAAAAAAGTTCCTCTTCTGTAAATACTTCTAGGACACTCATAAATGGTAGACTTTCTCTAATTATGCAAAGTCAGTCTGCTAATGGTCCATATTACATATTTTAGCATTTTTTTTCCTTTTCCCAGCCTACATGTTAAATGCATTTGTCCAACTACCTGTACAGACCACCTTACCATAGTGTTTGAATGCCTAAAGTAGGTTTCTCTATCATGGCTTAAGATTTGGCATTCAAAGTGTGATACTTATTACCCTATTTTCTTTATTTTTCTGGAACATAAGTTTTGTACAAAGATAAATTATAGCAAAGCATATACTCAAGGGGTGAAATATTGACTCCATATTAAAGTGAAGGGTAAAATTCACATTGACTTCACTGGGGTTGGGTTTTCACCTTATGAGGATCTGAGCTTTCTAGTTTTCTAGCAACTGTTATTCCAACTCCAAAAAAGTAAGGCTTTTTGAAGTGGTAGTAGTTGATGTAATGGCTTTCTATTAGGTGTTCCCAAAAGGATCCAAGTGCAAATGGTTATTTTGATACCAAAGCCAGCCTATTGCTTACAATTGGGCTGCTTACATTTTAATTCCCTTTTTATTCCTAGGAAATGAAAAGCTTTGTAAACTGAAATAGCCTGCTTCCCAAGGCTGCCTGCCTTGCACTAAGATGAAGAAAGGCCTGTCAGTCTTGACAAGATGCTACCAAGAGCAGAAGTGCCTACAGTGGAGCCTGACCTTGGCAAGCAGACAGGAGACCCAACATTCACAGCAGCCATGGCTCATTATAATAAATATTTCATGGCAGAGAACCACAGAGTTAGAGGGGAAATGAATGGAGGACAGGGTTCAGCTTGTGACACAAGTCGATGTGACTGGATCTTGTTTAGCAAATCTGGAGGCCGTTAAATTGACACTCCCAATCTATATTTACAAATCTATATTTATTTATTCTCTTGTCTTGTGGGGAGAAAAGATAATTAAAATCACCCTAGGCACCCTCATGTTAATAATGGACTGTCACACATCAGGAAGATGCTTGCACATTTGCGTAGAGCTGGCCAATATTGCCTGCTAAAAATTTTATTTTTTACCTGCGAGACATCTGGGTACACCTAAGCTCTGTTTCCAGCACAGAGCAGGCTGAGGACTCCTAATACACTGACTTTTCTAATGACTGTCCTAAGGCGATAAAGACACGGACAGTAACTAAGCTTCAACCAATTCTGTACATAGCATGTTATTTACTGTAACACAGACTAAGCTTCAACACCATAGAAGCTTGATTGATTCAACCTGGTTCGGAAGGCAAAGCTATTCTGTTCACGGCAGTAATCCTGACAAACCCAACCTCCTCTGTAGTGACCTTGAGCTAGAGAATGACTGTGCATATGGTGTGAAGGCCTTGGCACTACTCCAGACAGAAGGTCACTCCTGTGTTGCATATCTGCAAGGATTCCTGGCTTCTTCAAACCTGGGCCAAAGCTTAGACCATGACAGCTGCAGCTGTCTAGCAGAAGAATCCCTTTCAAGACTTAGCTGATAGCACCCCTCCCCCTTCAAATATTACACTACATACAGGTCTCATATGAAAATCCTAAGGGACCTATCAACACCTTCAGAATTTTATCAAGAGAGATTTGACCACCTCCTAGCAATTTCCCTCTGAGATTTCAGATTAGCCTTCTGTCCAGACAGCTCCATGTTTAAAAGCTCCTCTGCCAGAT